CCTCCCAGCTTTGTGTCATCAGCAAACTTGTGTCCTGTATAAAGGAGTGTGTGTAGGAATAGCCCCAAGGATTTGCACTCCAGAAGGAGGTTTGCCATTGCGTACCTGCAGCGTACTTCTGGATAAGAGTTCCTGAGCTGCAACGCTGCACTGATACTGCCTGGCAAGGAGTTTTTCTGAGTGGGAAGGAAGACTGTGCGAGGTTTAAGTGTGGTTGGTGTTCAAGCTGCCTTTGCTGTGTTACTGTCGGTGCCGTAACTCCTGGGTTTTGAATTTCAGAAAATCGGAGATCGAGTACTACGCTATGCTGGCCAAGACCGGCGTCCATCACTACAGCGGCAACAACATCGAGCTGGGCACAGCATGCGGAAAGTACTACCGAGTGTGCACGCTGGCTATCATCGACCCAGGTATGTCCCTCTGCAAACCCTCTGTGACCCAGTGGGTGGCTACTGGGGGCTCCTCCGTTCACCTGTGAGTAGCAGCACTGAGCGAGTAACGTGCACGGGTGGTGACACTTTGCTGTACTCTTCTGTCACGTTTAACTCCTCTACCAAGATCCTGTTCTTCTGTGAGTTCTGGGTTCTTAGAGCCTGGAATCACTGCTGCTTATGTTTGCACGTAGCTCCATTTACTGCTAAACCCTGTGAGCGTGTGTTTTTTGTCTGCCTGTCAACCTGTAATGAGGTTTCAGTGGCTGGGAAGCAGCTTCATGGTACATGTTTCTGAGCCCACCAGCTAGAATGTGAACTTGGACAACATGCTGTTTATATCAACCTTGTCTGACTGCTCTTAATCTTAAGACAAAGGATTATGAGTTGTCCTGCTTCCCAGAATGATATGTACAAAATAACCTATATGCAGGTAGATACTAATCCAGGGTTGAAAATTTTATTAAACTTTTTATTTTAAAACTGTAAATCTGTGTGCAGTTACTATGGTTTGGTAGCAGTTTTTGTCCCGGGGAGTTGCTCAGGTCCTTCATACAGACGGCTAATTAGGTGACTTTCACGTTCTTTCCAGAATCTTCCAAGAGAAGAATCAGTCTTTTTGTTCTGTTTGACCAAAATGCACACACATGGCTTTAATAATTTCTGTAATAACTTTCACCAAATTTTCCCCAAGTGACATCAGTCTGAATTAGCTGTTTCTTCAGAAAACTTATTTAGCTTGGTTGTATTCAGATACTAGCTGCAAACTTAATTCTCAAAATGTTACCTTTAGGTTTGATTTTGGGTGGGGAAGGAACTGCAAGTAAATCTCATTGCTGTGTAACCTAATGCGAATATTCTCGCTGTCCTGATATTTCCGTGATCAGGGGAGGCTAGACATTCGCTATATTAAGACTATGCATTGTGTCCTCCAGGACTAGACTTCTGCTCTAGTACTGGCTTTGTAAATGCTAGTGACAGGTAGATAATTACTGCAAAAAATACTGTGTATGGATTAGCAAAATACAGTTACAACTGTTTTTTTTTAATCAAGCCATCAAAATTACTTGCTTTTTTTCCTAAGCAGTCTCGCTCTGTATTGCTTGTAAGTTTTCTATTTGTAGAATCAGTGTGTTGGGTTTTTTTAACTTATTCCTAAAAACAGATCTTTCTGTGAGTCCTCTTGTAACAATGTGATTTTGTTTTACAGGTGACTCTGACATCATCAGAAGCATGCCAGAACAAACCAGTGAGAAGTAAATGCTGTAAAGGTGTTATTTCTACAATAAAACTGCTTACAAATCTGTTTTAAGAAAAATTTGTATTATACCTTTGCTGGTTCTAGGGAACAAATTATATAAATGAAGATTCATTGCCACTGCTGTGTCTCCTGTTCTGTTAGAAATAACCTTCACAGGACAAACCTTGCCTGTTTCTTTCTCTCGAAGTTGTGGATCTTGAGAGGTAAGTGGAGTAAGACTTGGTCATGGCAAGTATGGTGCCAAATCCCAACAGGCTAAAGCTTCCTTGGATTTTGGTTTTGGAGTGCTATTGCAAAAACAAGTTATAATGTGAGGTACAGTAGCAAATTTGGGATGTTGGTGGGGGACCCTCCCTACACTAAAAAACCCATATTGTTTTAACACGTCAGTCACAAAGTGCTAATGCAAATTATCCCCTTTGTCTTTTCCTTCCAAGAGAATGTCTGCCAGATGGCAAACAGGATAGCTGCTAGACACGATGTGTAACATCATACTTTCAGTAAGATACCAAGTAACTTCTCAAAGCTAAGTTTAAATTAGTCCCTTTTTAAAGTTTTTTTTCAGATGTTAACACTAGAGGCAGATGAGTTGGTGTTCTTAAGTCGCTCTTGTGACTCTGCACTGAGGACATTGGTATCTTACAGATTTGTGCCTGTTCTGTGTGAGACCATGACTGCAGGATGTTCCTTTTTACTAGTGATTGTTACTTGAGGTGCTGTGGTAACATGTGGTAAAAGAAGCACCTAATGAAAATCCGTATGTGCTGGTATCCTTGCAGAACTGGCATTCTGTTTGCCAAAGGATGCCAAAGCACAAGGTACCTTTTAAAGCTTGCCATTCTTTATCCACGTGCACTCATCATCTGAGAACACTTAATCTATTTTATGTGCAGCTACTTCTGCTTCTGGTGTAGAAAGAAGTTGTTTCTCTCCATTTGGAGACAGTACAGAGGCAAACCAATGTGTATCAAAGCAACAGAGGAAGTGCTGGTGTCTCTACCTGTTAAACCCCAGATTTGAATCAGTTCCAGAGAGATTTTAGATACTCCTGTTGGTATGAAAGTCAAGTTAGCAGCAGAGTGCAGTTGCTGCCAGCAGGAAGGAGTAGCCCTTCAAGGCACCTGAGTTGGCCAGAATGGCAGGAAGCAATCTGCTCTCCTCATTTGTCTTGGTGTTTGACAGACAGGCATGCAGCTAGTTGTGCTGTCACAGGAATGGTTTCCTGATGAGAATACCAGTTGCATTTAGGAACGTTAGAGAATCACTGAGTGAAGACCAAGGACCCATAGGGAGAAATTACATGGTCTGGATGTGTAAGAGAAAAAGTACTTGAAACTTCAGGTTGTGATACTCTGATAATCCAGCAGACTTCCCAGTTTGCTCATTTACATTCATTACAGTTTCAACACAAACATATAAATTAGCATTTCTACTTCCAACTGATTTCAGTAGCCTACTCTTGTTGGAAGAATATAAGTGAAACCTAATTGTGAAGCTCACCCACCTGTTCTGTTTTTATATATGTATGTGTATATATAGACCTCTGTATATCCACACAGATAAAATACTAGCAGAGTGAGTGGAGGAGGGAAATACAGAAAAGCAAGCCAAATAAATTAATACCCTGAAAGTACTTCAAAACATGGAGGTTTCACTTCAAAAAAATAACAGCATTTTATTATTTCGCGTAGCTTATTTCAGTTGTTTAGTCCTGCTTAGAATTTTTGCTAATTACTAAATCGTTTATATATATATATAAAATTTTCAACATTTCTTAGCTGCAATCAATAGAACACATAGTATATAGATGCAGGGATCCAAAATACACTTTTCAACTTCAGACACAAGGATTTGTTATTTTACTTTGAACTAGTTTAAGAAAATAGTTCTGACAAGTTTGTATCTATAAATATACAGTGTAGTATACACTTGAAGTTTTCCTCAGTATTTTAGCCTGTTTTCCAAGTCTTCCATTCTCTTGGTCATTTCTTCCAGTAGACAAAAGTTAAGGAAAGAGAGGTACTGATAACATGCATTAATAAAACAGCAGTGTCAGTTGCCCGATTGCTGTGGTCCATAAACTTGCTTGTTTCTCCTCTTTGCTACCCTCTGAGTACCAGCAGTTTCTGATACAGTCCTGCCCTGTGTTTTCTTACCCTGCTTTGATCAGCGAGTTGAGAAAGCTGTGTGAAGCCCCCTTTGTTAACAGGCCTACCTCAACATGGAGTTCAGGCTGCAGCTTATTAAAAAGGCTGGTGGTTCTGAGAACTATCAATTTTCCTCTGTTTTATGTAGTTGGATACAAATCATCAACAGTTTGGATTGTTCCCTCTAAATTTACATTCTATAGTGGGCTAGTTTTGTAGCCACTTTTCCTCCCTCCCCCAGATCCCAGGGATGGGGACTGGTCAGCAGAGTCTTTGGCAGTTACCAAGAACTAGTGTATCACTCGGGATCTCATCTGGGCTTCAGGTAAGGCAGAGAAATGAGGTTTGTGATGGAGAGGAAATGGGATAATTCACACTCTCTTTAAAGCAGTGGTTGCACAGTGCTCTGGGCAGGTGCTTGGCACTGTTCCTATCAAAATGTGTAGGTCTCTGGCTTGGTGTCAGCAGCTTTTCCATCACCTTGAGTCCTTGGACTCTAAAAATCACAGTTGCCTGCTCAGATTGTAAAGCAAAAAAAGGACTTACTGCTAAGCTCCATTTTCTTGGATTCTGAATAGGCTCAGAGTTCCTCATAGCCCAGCTGAAAGAGATTAAAGAGGCTAAGGCTTCTGCTGGAGGGGGAAGGAGTGGTCTCCTTTCTTGTCAGCATCTAGGTTGGAACTGCATGTGTCTGGATAATGCTCTTAAGGATCTGGGAAATGAACTAGGGACTTTTCTCTGAAGTCATGTGGAGACTTTTGAGAAGCCCCTTCAGAAAAGTATAAATGTTGATGAGCACTCGAGGCACCTAGCAACAGCCTTATGTGATGGCTTTCTGCACCCTTATGAAGTAATTATACTTTGCATGGAATAATTTAGAAGTAATCAAGTGATCAGAACACAATTGCTTGAGCTACCTGCTGAAGGACTCTCTGGGGAAGGTGAGAGTGAGCGAGGCTGGCTGCTGCAGTTACACAGAACAGCCAGAGACAAGGTCTGAGCTGGTAGGCAGCATTTTGCACCAGGTTAGGAGAGCCCTCGATGGCCTTGCCTGCTGCCACCGCCACCCCGGGCTCCGTCAGCCTGACCGGACAGACCGTTAGCGCTACAGGTTCCTCAGTCTGAACCTGTTCTCGTGTAGGAAACACAGTTCTGAGCTGCTGGTATCACTGCATTCTTCTGTGCAGAAAATAAGTGCTTATTGATCTTGCACGTAGTTACGAAACTTAAATAGAAGATGTGATGTCATCTTACTATTTATTTGATTAAGCAGGAGCAGCTTTCATGAAAAAAACCAGGAATTTCCTGCATAAATACTGCATGATGCAAAATACTGCAGAAAGCTGTATGGCCAGCTTGCTGCTGCTGTCTCCTCAGGCATCTGGTGGACGTTACGGGTACTGTAAAGGCTACTGTACTAACAGCTCTCTTGAAAAGACAGACTAACGGGGGGGGGACACAGGTATTGATCTGCACTTAGCTAATTCTTATCTGCATATTTGTTTATGCAAAATTAATCAGACATCAGTCCTCTGAATTCCTCTTCATGTGGAGTCTTGTTTGAAGTGACTCACCATATCTGGTGCTTCACCAAGCAGATCAGAAGGGAAACATCTCCTGTATTCTGACTCCTGTAGCCAGAGAATTTTATTTTGAAACCACCTGAAGAAATAACTCAAAGCAAAGAGTGTTAGTCTTGAATTTGACCAGTCATTTCTTTGCTGTCCCTGAAGGTATTTACTGTTAGGGATTATTAAAAGTTAATATTTTGGTCCCCTCAGTGAAGGAGAGGCAGATTTCAAGTCTTACAAGCCTTGCTGCATGGAGATTAATATAATCTATTAAGTAGTTTAGCTTTTCAGCACAGTAGATTGCTTTGAGCTATGGAGACAGCTTTCCCCTGATGCATTATAATTATTGTTTCTTTTAACCTGCCCCCCCTTGTCTTATATGTAAGAAACCATTATTCTGGAAGGATATATCGCTGGGTGAGTTTCCGTACTTCATTGGTTGCATAGTTCTGGAATGTTACAAAGTTTTCACATTTGCACTGGTCTTTATCTTTTGAAGCTTTTGCTGAAAAACAGAAACAGTCAAGTACAGACTACATGCTGAATAAGCCAAATGGGATGGGGGAGAAAATGACAAGGACTAAATGCAGAGCAGGTTTAATACAGCTTCCTGTTCTCAAAACAGGTCAACATCCAAAGGAATGCTCTGGGGGAGATTTTGTAAATACTGGAAAACAGAACACAACACTTAGGCCTATCTATTCAAAGAGCAGTCTGGATTATTCTAAACAAAGGTAACCTGATTACCTGATGTTGAGTGAATGTGACCATCTTCAAAAAGATACTTGTGGTGTATTGCAAGATTGGGACAGGCAATGACATCTGTGATGGTTATTGTGGTTGATTCAGGTCCTGCAGGAAACCCCCCAAAAAGTCTAAAAATCAAACCCATGTCACTTAATTTTACAGTACTTTTTCTACTCACATGCACAGACTTCTCCTTAATTAGTGAGTAATCTGACTGATTGCAGTGAGTATCATTCATGGAGAGTACTAGAGATACAAAGATGTGAAGGAACTGAGCTGTTAGGCTGTATTTACTGTATGCATGGTTTAAGGTGTGGGTTGCAGAACTGAAAGGGAGTTGTGAAGGTTCCTGTGAGAAACAGAAGAGATTGGAAGCTGAACATGCTTTGAAATATCAAGCACAGTGTTGAAATACAAGTTTCCCTATGAAGTGATTCATTTGGATGGTGTAAGGAGCATGCAGCTGTACAGTGAATCTCAAATTTTTTGTACAAAGCAGATCCGAATTGCAGAAAGGAGGGAGTCTTGGTGGGAGGTGGGAAGGGGGAATGGGGTGAATTGTTAGGCTTCTCTAAAGAAGGCATCATGAAGAGGCGATTTAGCAATGATTCGGGGTGACAGTAGGACAGTGAGTTAAAACAGCCAACCTGCAGGTGGTGGACCAGGCTTAGGAAGGCTCCCAGATGATGGATCCTGCTGGTGAGCTGTCTCTTTCAAGGCTGGTAGAAGGAAATTGGCAAAGGAAATGAGATCACAAAAGGAGCAATAAAAATGTTCTCATTCCCTAGAAACAGAGATGTTTTCTTACCAGTAACTTGGTGTTTCTCTCTCTTGTAACACATGGACAATGCCTCATACCTGTGAAGTTTAGGAGAGATCCAGTGTTGATGGACACTTCAGGACTCATCCTTCAACTCAGAACTCCAAAACCAGATGTGCTTTATGAGTAATTAATAGTAGTGAAGCAATCTGAAATTACAGCAACCTACTTTTGTGTCTTTTAGTGAAAATTCTTGTATGTTTCACTATCATCCACCAGTCCTTTGGAGTGAACTGAATAAGAATAAAAACTGCTTGGAGAAGGAAGAAATTTCTTGCTCTCCTTCAATTTTCTTCTTTATAATGGAAAACATTGATCAGGGACTTGGGAGTGTTCAGGTGAGGAGTATTTGATGCACTACAGTTATAAGCAAAAATACAAGTTTCTAATTCATGAAGCACAGCCTTTAAGATTTAGGAATTTATTTCAGACTCCACATACCCATGTTTTTAGTTAAAATGGTGTCTGGAGAGAAATGGAAACCTATTTTCTATGTAGGTACAACCACCTCAGGGGTCATTCTGTGCACTACTCCTTTCTTGCCGCAAGAGGGTTACGTAGAGGCAGCTTTGGTTCCTTAACAGGGGGTTCTTTTCTAGAAAATAAATGCTTCCTCTTCAATTAACTGTAGAACCCTGAAGGGCCCAGATGAGCTGAAGAACATACATTTAACAACTTGCACGACTTGATCAGCTATGCCAGGGGAGTGGATGGAGCATCTGGGACTCCCTCCCTGCAAATATATGCAGAGTTCTTTCACTGGAAGTGAACGTGTGAGGGTAAAAGGTGATGGTGCAAACTCTCCTGATATGCCATGAAGATGCAGCAGGGAGGTGGAAGATCCTTTTGGACCCCACAGGTTTGCTATAGCTATTGGGATGTCTGTTGGTCTAGTGAGTTTTGTCAGATGCACAATAATAGGCAGCTGTGCAAATTTGCACTTGGAAGTGGATAAGACCCTCTGGGTCGAGGCTGGAATGACTGAGCATGAGGAACAGGGAATGAAGACAGATGAGCGGTTGAGTAAGAAGACCAGAGCTCAGTGGGCAGAACTACAATATTTATTTATATCAAAAAGACTGAGTGGGAACCAGCTGGTAGAAGGAATGCTGATTTTGGAGAAGAGTTCAGGGCAGAGAGGTGTGGGATGAGGTCACGAGGTAAGGAATGAAACTGGGCGAGGAGTCTAGCAGAAGAGTGATCAACTGGGAACAAGGATGGTGAGATTTCCAGTGTAGGAGGGAAGAAAGAGGTAAGATGAACCTTGAGTGTTTGACCCTGGGTAATGACTTGCTCTAGAAGTCATTTTAAGAGCTGTAGGCTAATGAGGAGGCTGCTAAAAAGGGTAGAGAACTGACCTGAAAAGTTTGAGCTTCAGACACTGGGCTGGTATAGGCAAGTAATTAGGATTCAGATGTTAAGGATATGAAAGAAGCCTGATAGACTGGTAGACGTATGGCAGAAGGTGTCCAGTTTGGGACAGGAATTGGGCATTTCAGAAAATCCTCTTCAGGCTTCAGAAACTGCTTGGGGCCCAAAGATTTCTGATCTCATCACCTCTGTAAATCTGAATACTCAGAAAAGTAGCCACAGAGGCTGGTGACCCAAACTGAGTCCCTTGGTGAAGTCAGTGCAGTGAATACAAATATTCAGATTTGTTGGGGAACAATGCTAAAGTTGTGTGTTTGTTTTTAACGTCTCGTTTCATTACAAACCCTAAGTATTTTGTTAGGAAAAGCCTGTGAGAAAGTGTCTTCAAAAGCAGTGGCTGCCTATTTGCAGCAGTGGTAACAATCCATAATTTGGAATTTTTTACTACTAGTCATCAAGAATAATTAATGGTAATCAGCAGCTATTCTACAAGGCTGATGCTTTCTTGCCTTATCCTGAAAGAGACTGGAGGGCTTCTGCTTTACCTGGAAACATGCAACCCACCCACAGCTGGGACTGGGGATGAGAGGCTTTGTCAGTGGAGTCCATGAGGTTTAGAGGGTTTCCCACTGTCCTCACAGGTTGGAGCCTCAAAAGTCCTCATCTAAGGACCAAGGCTGGAGTAAAAATGAAATTACTGCTGCTGCAAAGGAGGGAAAAAATTTAGGCTGTAAACCAAAACAGAGGAAAAAAAAAAAAAGAGTTTTTAGCTTGTGTAGCAGGCCTGGAGGCAGACCTTCTGGTGGAGTGAGCTAATGAGCAATAGGTAGTCCTGGAGTGTCCAGAAAAAGAAGGCTGGGTCAATCCTCAGTTCACAGGTGTGAAGCATTGCCTGTGGGTGAAGCCAAGAGGCACCAGCTCTGCCCAGTTACTAGAGATGCAATCTAGAAACTGCCACAAAGGGTCAGGATTTACTTATTTTTCATATGGTAAGTAATGCAGGGTTGTTTTGTTGGTTTTTTGGGGTTTTTTTTTAAAAGAAAGAAAAAACAGAAAACCATGGTTGCTAAACACCACTGTGGGCACCTGAAGGATGCATTTCCATCTCTGGGGTTTACTAATGAGTGAGAATTATTATACCGTTGCCAGATAGTTTTGGCTCTGGCGCCTCCCCAAGCTTTTAAGATGACATGCTGTCATCAGCAGGTTATCTGCCTAATAAGAAGGTTAATTTAACAGACTTGGTTTCATGTTATCATAGTATGTATTTCAGAAAGATGGAACAGAACTTCTTAGGACTGAGAGAAACACAAAGAATATACAAGTTAGGAAACATTCTTTGATTCTTTTTTTTTTCCGATTCTTCCTTGACATGTATATGAGGAAGAAATACTGCTGCTTGCCAGCCAATTTTACACAGTAACGTTAAAGAAGTAAATAAAACCTGTTTGCATTTAATTCCAAGGGAAAAAAAAATAAAAGCTAGTGAAAATGAAATAAACTTGCACAATTCTAGTGCTATGACTAATATTATTCACAGTGACGTTTCTGAATTTTGCGTCAGGTACCAATTTGAATGTACAAACAATACCGAGTCCTGGGAATGTGTGAGTGAGAGAGACGTGCTGTCCTCCCTCTGGCTGAACAGCTTTCACCCCAGTTCACATTCCCCAGTCCCCTTGCAAAACTTCAGCTGGGAATGTTTATATAGAGGCTGTTTGTGCCAGAGTGAGGAAGGGTACTTTCTGGAACAAATCTTCTACGTCTGTGGAGCAAAACTTGGAGCTTATGCATAACTGAGACCCACTCTTTGTAGCTGTGAATTTATGTTCAATGAACTATTTTTAGTCTTCTGTAAATAGGCACAACAGCTCTTGATTTGTTTTGCTATGGTCTAGGTTTTGCCACTAGTCTTAAGAGTAATTTTTTATTCTCATTAAGACATTGCAAATCCCTGATTATTTTCCCACATTCCTAATGAAGTAGATCACCCTGCTTTGGTGGGGTGGGGTTCAGTTCATGGCCGATTTAACCGCAGAAAAAGAAAGAGGAGGGAGCAATTGATTCTTCTGGGCACAGAACTGTACATTTTATGTAACCTTTACGAAAACAAAGGAAAGACAATTATTATATACCTTTACCTCGTTATAGATTAAGGGTATAGATTCGTCACATATTAAAGGGCAGAAAAATTACTGTGAGTGATTCATGCCTTGCAATGTCTGACACCAATGATCTACGACCTATACTATGACACAAGTTGTCCTTTTAGGCCTGCAAAAAATACACAAGCATTCATTCCTTTTCTATCTCAGTGAAAGTGGAACACTGTTACCTTCACAGATTTGGGCTCTTAGCTCTTCACTTAGGTCTTCCATAGCTGTGAAATCCTCCGCATAGAAGAGATGTTTGTATGGTGGCTCAGAAACAATTTCCAGAAGTTCTTCCTCAATTGCTTTTCCTATTCCAATGGCATAGATAATTATACCTACATTCAAAAGAAATTGCATGTAATTATTACATCAGCAGTTCTGAACCCTCATTCATCCATGAAAGGAAAATACAAGCATTAGTCATCTTAGAGAGAGAGAAAGGGAGAGCACAAGAAATGTATATGCTTTGTAACCAAACTGGTTTTGAACAGGCTTAATATGCTTTAGTCATTGAGATGTATAGAAACTCACTGCTTTGCTGTAATTTAACAGATAGATAGTTTTTAAGTTAAAGAGATGACAGTTGTCTGGCCACTACTGATAGTGAATAAACCTAGAAAGAGTATTGCAAAACATCAAAGAGAATCACACAAGTCAGCCTCACAGTTGCACTGGAAGTTCCTCGTTTGTGTCTGTGTATGTAGGGTGTGTGCAATAAAGCTAATTACTGGGTTGATGAGAAGACCTGTTATATATTAGTAAATTGGGCAGTAAAGATCCTGAAAGATGGCAGTAATTTTTTTAGAAAACTATAAATACTTAGTGTTTCATCAAAATCCTCAGAGCACACTGAGACTAGATTCTTGCACTCTGAGGGATGCTAGCAGGCTGGGAGGAACTGCAAAGGCACCCACACCTACAAGGGTAAGAACAAGGGAAAATAAATGATTTGTGGGCCTAGGAGAGAAAGAGCCTTACAACAGGGATGCTCAGGACAAGCAGTTCCCCAGCTGAGGTACTAGGGAGAAAGTAAATGAGGATTTGTAGCTTTCTTCACTCTGAAAGCAGGCAAGGAGGAAATGGTTCACAGCCCTCACAACAGACAGATTTTAAACAAACAATGAATACAAAACATACTGATCTTCAATATCCCCTTTTTCAGCAGTTATTTTTTTATTCTCATGAACATAAGATCTGATACAACATTTCTCTTTACATCAGTTCTGGCTTAGAAAGTGTCCAAAATTGTACTGATTTTGAGGTTCATAATACAACTATTAGCTTTGTAGTATTTCAAGCTCTTTTATAAGATTCAAGAGCAGAAGCTGCCTTCTCAGTTGGCTGGTTTCAGATAAAACTTAGGATGAGGAGGTTTGATATCTCTTCATTATCATGGGGTAAAAACAGCTAGACAAGCACTAAATTGCAACTTCAACCTTTTTTGATGAAGAATCCTGGGCCTGATAATATCATAAAATACATATTTCCCAACTCTCTAACATTTAACATAAGCATCTCCTTACTTTTCGTCATGAATCTGCCTACCAGCCAGGAAAGTAAAACATTGTCCAGAAGCTGATTCAATTTAATGAATGGACCAGTCATGCTGAGGTCTGTTGCTTTTTAAAGACTTGGAGATATCAGTGATAAAGCATTCAAGGCCAATTTTATATTCAGCATTACTACGTTGCCTACACTGCAATTACACAGGGGATGGATTTGGCTTGTAGCATCACGCTGTCAGTGTAAGCAGCCCGGAGCAGAGGTTTCATTCAGCAAGTAAGTAAGGTTGGCTTGTATTTCTTTCCTTCTTCAGTCCTGTAAATCCTCCATGTACTTTTCCAGATCTCACTAGTTAGCATATAAACCTTTGGGCTTGTTTTTAATATTTTTAAAAACTCTGTTTATATTTCATTGTAATGGCACCCTTGTTAGCTCATGTTCTTCTCACATCTTTGGACATTTTTCTCCTTACAGAGAGGTATTAGTCCTGAGCAACACTAAACTAATCATGTATTAAGTTATGACTGACATATCAAGTCAATAAAACAAGAACAGAAAAAAGATGTGTAGCACCTTCTAAAGTCTGGATATTTTTCTCTGTGTTGTGAGCCATCAGCTACGGTTCTTAAAGCAGTTTCTCATAAAACAGAAAAAGTTTCACAAAGAACAAAGGAATCCTTTATTTTCTTAAAAGGTTTTGAAAATTTTCAGTTGACTGATAAACAGCTGAAAAGTTTCTGATTTGTGCCACAGGTATCCTAGAGGAAGGATTTCTGCCCAGACAAATCCTAAATTAAAAATCACTAGTTTTCAGTTACATTTCAGCACATCACCTGATAAGGGACATAGAAACAGAAAGATAAACAGCACTACAGCTTTATTCTTTTGTAAAGAAGACCCATCTTCCTTCCAGATCACCATCAGCACTATTGGCTAAAAATACAGAATTAAAAAAAGTAAATAAAAATATAACATAACCAATTATTACCATAGTGTTTCTCAGGAGGATGGATTTCTCTGTTTTGAAGAGACAGGTTGGGGTTTTTAAAATTGTTTTCTTACAATTCTTTATGAAGTTCCCAGTGTTCCCAGATCTCTCTATCAAAATTCTACCCTTAGTGGGTATGTTCAGGACTCTGCACAGCATGCCAGGTAGGTAGTACCACTACCTGTGGATGGCGCGGAACCCCAGTGGTGTGACACTCATTATGGCTCCCACACTAGGGGCGACATATGTGCCTGTGGCAAAGGCTCCTGTGAACACCAGGGATCCCAGGTTCTGCTACAGTGGTCACTGTACTAGCCAGGCTGCCATGGCAAATGCTCTCTTGATTAGCACATACTGTAGCACATCCATACTATTACATCTTACTTCAAACAGTATTTGCCTTCGAGAATGAGTCAAAAACATCTCCACTTACCATTCTGCTTTGCTCTAGTAGCCCACTCACAGACTTCATCTTGAGCCCGTCCATCTGTAAACACAATGGAGATTCGAGGGACATTTGCTGAAAATGGTCTTGCCCCCTCTGTTTCTGTGAAGCTTTTCTCAAACATTTGCTTCAGAGCTAGTCCTGTCATGGAACCTCGTCCCATGTATTTCATTTGTGATACAGCTTTCTTCATGTCTTTGGCTGAGCTGAACTGCTTTAATGTAAACTCGGTGCGAACTTCAGTGGAATACTGAAGCAAGCCAACACGAGCAGCTTTGGGTGAAATCTCAAGTGCATCCAAGATTCCTGAGACAAATTGTTTTACAATTTCAAAATTATCCTCTCCGAGACTTTTTGATCCATCAATCACAAACACCAGGTCAACCGGGCCTTCAGTACATCCTGTGAAATAAGCAGCAGAGTGTTCAGATAATGAAAAAAACTCCACAAAGCTGAAAAAGGGACCTAGATACCCAGGGACTGCATAAACTCAGAGATCATCTAGAGTACCCTTGTTCCTGGCTCATCCAACTTTGCCAGTGTGTCTAAGGATGTTGTGTCCAGTCTATATCAAAAACTGAGTGTGCCTATGACCAAGATTTTAGCAAAAATATAATCACAGTGAATCCTTACTGAGACAGACTGCTTTGCAGAGTACAACTCTTCTTACAAATATAGCAACAGTCAGCAAATTTTAAGAATGACTGGGAGAGAACTGTATAACTGAAGAACACAGCTAGGATATAGAGACAGAGTTGCCATTAGAAGGCTTACGTATTGCTGAAATTAACCTTTTCCGATTAACTCATTAAAGCTGGGAGTTTGTCAGGAGACTGACAAATTTGGAGTTCTCATACTTTTTGGCAAGTGCACACACAAAAATCAAAATAGTTTGGAGGCACCATACATCCATGACAAGGTTGGGGAACGTAGGGACTGGAGAATGTCTTCAAAGCTGCAGACTGGTTCTGCCAGGTGTTTGTTTTATTCTGGAAAGCAACTGTCTCCAGCAGGCATAGGCTGGTGCACTTTGTGCAAGGGGCTGGCTGCAGAGATGCTCAGCTCCTTTTTGATCAGTGTAACTTCCAGGGAGAATTTGCCATAGTAAGGAATGTAAGATTTGCATCTTAGTTTAGAGCAAATGACCTTTGACCTCCACTCATCTCTGGTGTTTGTATATTAAGAATACTGTAAGCACCATACAAGAGAGAACTGTGCAGCAGAAAATACTTTGACTGCAGAAATTACTGAAGATGTCTGTTACAAGTCAGTGTAGGAATAAGGAATTTTTCAGCTTTAGAGCTTGGGCTTTTCTTCTTAGACAATAGCTCTATTTTAAAACTGCTGTCCAAGAATGCCTTTCTGCAGTCAACTGAGGAAAAGATGTGTCACACGTACTAAGGCGATGGAAACGCAGTGAATACAAATATCAGAACCACTGCAGTACCACTGCATAAGCCAAGACAGGGCAGCAGCTCATGGTGAAGGGGTTTAGTTAGGATTGAGATCAGCTATGAACATGTTAACATTCTGTTGGTGGTAAGTCTCCCCAGCTGAGGCATCCATTTTTGCAGAATAAGTGTTTTTACTGAGTTCCAGTAGAAGAATTTCTCCTCTGAGTATTAAAGGAGTGATGAGATAAATGCATGCCATACTCTAAGCATGTCATGTTAGAAGATAAGCAAATAGAATTAATGATATTTTTAAATGGAGTATATACAGATAAAAACTCCATAGTATATGAATCTGATTAAAGTGCACATTCCTTAATAATAAGATTTCACTTTGGCTTTTTTCCTGATGTTTGGAAAAAAATATTATTGTACTTGATGCTATACCAAAGTAACTGTTCCAATTTGCTAGTTTTTTGCTTACGAGAGCATCAAGTTAATCGTTCAAGACATTTTCCATCGCACTCACATATACTTTGGGCTTTCAAATATTATATCTTTTTTGAAGTGAGGCATTTGAAATGAGGTCAAGTAGTTTAAGAAATCAAAGAAACAAATGCTTTCTAAATAAAGTGTACTTACTTCTGCATGTTTTCTGATCCTCTTTTAGAACATATCCCTCCTGGCATTTGCAGATATATGAATCGTCATTATTAACACAAATATGTTCACAACCATGGGCAACAGATTTGCAGACATCTTTATCTAGGAAAAATGGAAATATTTATATGTATTCTACTTAACATATTTATATATTCAAGGATCCCAAACATGATCATAGAATCATAGAATGGTTTGGGTTGGAAGGGACCTTAAAGATCATCCAGTTCCAACCCCCCTGCCATCAGCAGGGACACCTTCGACTAGACCAGGTTGCTCAAAGCCTCATCCAGCCTGGCCTTGAACACTTCCAGGGAGGGGGCATCCACAACTTCCTTGGGCAACTTTGAAGAATGTATGACAAAGGAGTACAACATCTTTGTTTGTTTATGTAGCAATGCCAGAGAATAGTGGCTGACAGACATATTGAGTTACTTACTTCGACATGTTTTCCCATCTTGTCGCAGGACAAAACCCTCATGGCACTGACAGCTGTATGAATTGTTATTACTAATGCACACATGTTCACAGCCATGGTCAATGGATTTACACAGGTCTTTATCTGAGAATTGTTAAGAGAATTACCTTATTAGACCATTTCTTAAATGCAAAACTGGTATGAACAAGCTTTGAGTTAAATTAAGTCTATTTCTTTTATGACTGAAAAAACATATTCCCCATAAAAGTTTCTGCTACTCACTACTGCATTTTTTCCTGTCTTGCCTCAATATAAATCCCCTGCAACAAGGATACATATATGAATCACCAGTTGGAACACAGACATGTTTGCAACCATGGTTGATTGTTCTGCAGATACTTTTATCTTGGAATAATGAAAATTTTATTTAGCACAGGTAAATAATTTTCACAAAATGTAAAAATTATGGCAATTATCTTCCATGAAGGAGCTCAATTCCATGAAGCTGATTTTAAATTAAAGACATAAATAACACACTACCATTGCATAGTGTGTTTCATTAACAGATCAGGAAGTATAAAAAAAAGATTAAACAACTTACTCCTACAAGTTTTCCCATCTTCCCTCAGTATGAAGTCCTCATGACACTTGCAGGTATAGGAATCATCAGTATTAATACAAATATGCTCACAGCCATGGTCCACTGAGTTGCAAACGTCTTTATCTGAGAAGAGTGGATGGAGCTTGTGAGGTGAGGTTTGTTAGGGAGAGAAATCTGTTATTAACCAGCTCAAATAGCTGGAAATCACAAATGTACACATGTGCAAACACTCACAGTCACAACACTTAAAAGCCTCAAATAAAACCATACTTTTATAGCTCAGGCTACTCACATCTACATGTCTTTCCATCTTCCTTTAGTACGAATTTTTCACGACACTTGCAGATGTAGGAATCTTCAGTATTGACGCAAACTTGTTCACAGCCATGGTTGACTGAATTGCAAACATCCTTGTCTGCAAACAGAAAAATTGGTAGTCAACATTCATTAGCAGAGGCTTTGATTATATGTGTAATTCATCAAACTAAGTTCTCATGCTACTTACTTCTGCAGGTTTTCCCATCTTCTCTCAGTAGAAACCCATCATGGCATTTACAGATATATGAATCATCAGTATTAACACAAACATGTTCACAGCCATGGCTGACTGATTTGCAAAGATCTTTATCTGAAAACAGATGACAGTTCTTGATGATTAAGGCATTTCTACACAAGCATGAGCTGCAGATAGAAAGTGTGCAGATAAATTATCAGACTACTCACTTTTGCATGTTTTTCCATCTTCTCTTAGCAGGAATCCCTCCTGACACTTACAAACAAATGAATCACCAGCATTAACACAAGTATGTTCACAGCCATGGTTGACTGATTTGCAAATATCCTTGCCTGTGAATAATTAGATAATATTTAATGTGGTTTTCTAGTTAAAGTTTTTTTAATAAATACAAAGACTAGGGGTAATCCCATGAGCAAAGAAAGATGGAAGCCTGCAAACTGAAAGCACATCTCTGGCTAGTTAAATGATAGAGAGCTTAGGTCACATGAAGCATGAGTTTTTTACCATCTGAGCAGAAAGAATTGCATGGTTTGGATGGCCTCCCACTGACAGTAAATAATTTTGGGATTAATCTGATTAGATTAAGAAGGAGAACATTAAGAGCAGTAAGAGGGAAAGGAGGGAATAATTTAGTACAGTAATTTAGCACAAATTGATGCCGGTAAATGCAAAATTAAGCAAAACATCACAGGGTATGAAGTGAAATAATTTTTTAACATCCTTATATCAATGCCAAGAGTCTGCATAAACAAATCCCAGAAAAATAGGAACTACTCATTTAAGAGGATAAATGCAATCAAACTGATATTGCTGAAAATTGATGGAGGACTTGTATGACTACAATGGTAAAACCAGTTGGTTAAAACCTCTTCAAGAATGATAGATAGGGAGAAAGTATGGAAGGAAGTGGAGCCATCTATCAGCATCTCATGTTTCTTTTTTACTGCAACACAAAAGAAAATATCCACAATTGCTAATGGAGAACTACCCTTACATAGAAAGCAGAACAGTACTGATGGCTATGTTC